TGGGAAAAATTAGATGGCGAAGATTTGATGAAAATCAATGAATGGCTCTGCAACAAATGACCAGAGACATGGAGATTAACTGCCATGCAAGCCATTACACAAACAATGTTGAGAGGCTCAGTTAACAGAGGGGCGAATTTGCTTCATACAAGAGTTTGAGGGCTTATTCACTTCATTTTTAGTTTAGGGGCCTATCACTTGCTGTCAAAAAAGTTGAGGGGCTTAAGAAGGGTTTTTGCCAAAGAAATAAGAAGAAGCCCAAGAATCACAAACACACGACTCTAACCGACCACCTAGGTAGAAGTCCAATTTTATGTGTCGTTAAGTTTGGTGGCTTTCCCCCTCAATCCCATCCCTCCACCGCTCTTCATCAAGCGATTACTCCCACGCCGCCCCATCTCTTCTTCTCCTCGTTTCCTCCGCCCCACCTTTCCTCTCCTTTAATACTCCCAACTCAACCTCCTCCTTCCCCGCACAATCTCATTTTCTCTCATTTTCCCCTCAAGTTCAGGGTTAGGGAGAAAATCATGGCTACGGCTTTCTCTGCTGCCAAGTTCGGCACCCAGTTTTTCCCTGTCGGCACCAGATCTCACGAAAATCCTCTCTTTGGTCATCTAAAGACCCCCGCATGCTCTTTTCTTGGATCAACTCGAAGACTTCGCTTCTCTTCTGCTTCCAAATTGAATCAGATCAATTCCCACCGTCGATCTGTCGTTGTTGCTGTCTCGGATGTCGTTAAGGAAAAGAAGTCCAAATCTACCTCCAATCTGGTATTCATTTCCAACCCTTTATTTTTCTTGGAATCCCATTTTTTTGCTCTTGATGTTTTATTTGGATTTTTTGTTTATTTTCTGAAAGGTTTGTTCTTTTTTCTTTTCTTTTCTTTTTTCTTTCTTAATGCATTTTGAAGCTCAAATGAGAACGAATGAGTACCATTTCAAGCTGAATTGGAGCAAATTTGTCTTGGTCATAATCTGTATGAACCAAGATATTTAGATTCATGATTTTTTCATGGGGGTGTAGAATTTAGTGATAATTCTGTGGTTACTTTGTGAAAAAGGCTGCTGCTTTAAATCTGAAATGGTTCGCTTTTGCGAGATTATGTTAAGTTTTTGCTTCTATTTATTCCTGCGCATTCTATTCAGTTGATCACCAAGGAGGAAGGCTTGGAGCTTTATGAAGATATGATTTTGGGGAGAGCATTTGAGGACATGTGTGCTCAGATGTATTACAGGGGAAAGATGTTTGGTTTTGTTCACTTGTACAATGGTCAAGAGGCTGTTTCGACTGGGTTTATTAAGCTCTTGAAGAAGGAGGATTCTGTGGTCAGCACGTATCGTGATCATGTGCATGCCCTGAGTAAGGGTGTCCCTGCTCGTGCTGTGATGAGTGAGCTCTTTGGTAAGACCACTGGATGCTGCCGAGGCCAAGGTGGGTCTATGCACATGTTTTCAAAGGAACACAATTTGCTTGGTGGGTTTGCATTTATTGGGGAGGGGATTCCAGTGGCCACTGGTGCTGCATTCACATCCAAGTATAGGAGGGAGGTCTTGAAGGAGGCAGATTGTGATCATGTAACACTGGCATTTTTCGGAGATGGAACTTGTAACAATGGGCAGTTCTTTGAGTGTTTGAACATGGCAGCACTCTGGAAGTTGCCAATTGTGTTTGTTGTGGAGAATAATTTGTGGGCCATTGGGATGTCTCATCTGAGGGCAACCTCTGATCCTCAGATTTATAAGAAGGGACCAGCTTTTGGAATGCCTGGCATTCATGTCAATGGGATGGATGTTTTGAAGGTGAGGGCGGTGGCACAGACAGCAATTGCAAGGGCTAGAAGTGGAGAAGGTCCAACATTGGTGGAATGTGAGACATATAGGTTTAGGGGACACTCATTGGCTGACCCTGATGAGCTTCGTGATCCTGGTAAGCTTTTAATTTTTGTTTGGTTCCTTTTTCGTTTGCTTATTAATATGATCCAGAGAAGATGTTACTTTTAGTTATTTCCTTACTCCAGAAATTATGTTTTCCCAATTAACTGAACAAAAACAGCACTTGTAATAATGACATAAACAACATCAGCATGTACGTGTAGGCAAACAAGTATATACTGGAAAATATCCTGATGTTGGATTCATGGTTTTGTGTTGTAAACTTCTATGTATATGGAATTCCCTTTCACTTTGGCACTTTATTATTATGCTAACTGGAATTAGAGGAATGGGTTCTTAGTTGATCAACAATGTGTACGGAGATTGTAAGTGCACTAATCTTTTATTATAAATATCTTCACAGTTTGTAAAGTGCACTCTTACTCAAATTTTAATTCTTTGACAGCTGAGAAAGCTCACTATGCCGCTAGAGATCCCATTACTGCATTGAAGAAGTACTTGATTGAGAACAATCTGGCCACTGAAGTAGAGTTAAAGGCCATAGATAAGAAGATAGAGGAGGTAGTGGAAGATGCTGTTGAGTTTGCAGATGAAAGCCCTCATCCAACTCGGAGCCAGCTACTTGAAAATGTGTTTGCAGATCCAAAAGGTTTTGGAATTGGACCTGATGGCCGGTACAGATGTGAGGATCCAAAATTCACAGAAGGCACTGCTCAAGTCTAACCTCAGCCTGTTGTCGATCTATTTATGCTTGCTTTTAGTTATAATCATATTTAGTTACTGCTAGCAGCCATTTGTTTTACTTAGGTTGGTTTTGTGTCTCAGTTTTGGGTAATGTAATTTAAATTATTTGGGCGTAGATTTTGAGTGTCGAATCCAAAAGGGTTGGTTGGCAATCTTACTCAGTGCTCCCCCTTTCTGTTTTCTAATAATATATTTGCTATTTATTGAATTTCCATTCATGAACTGTCTTTGCGGCCATTTACACGTAGCATAGAAAATAATAAAGCTACAAACATCATAGGTTGTCAGATGATGCTTCGCTTTTACGCTAATTTTGACAGATCCATGCAGTATCCATTTTACAAGCATTGGTTCGTGTAGTTTTTAGAACAGCTTCTCAACAACAGCTAAAATTGCACTAAAAACAAGGTTCATGAAAAGTTCAAATTAAGTTCCTCATATTACAGGAGTCCAAACAAGTTCAACATGATGCAGAAACAATTTTCAACCTTTCAATCTTATAATATGTAACTATATTTTGAAAAATAAAATAAAAGAACATGACAATAATTCCTTACATGGCAATGCTCAGCTGGGT